AGAGACGTCACAAAAGAGCGGCCGAGCAAGATTGAGCAGAGGGAGGGCAGGAACCGGAGATAAGTGAATCAAAGCCATCGGGTTGAGTCGGGTTCCTCGCGTAGTTCTGTCGATATCTTATCCAAATCGACATACGGCATATTGGGAATATTAATCTTGGACGACAATATAACCACGCACGAGGCTTCAGCTTCATGATTAAGTCTTGAAGTTCAGCTAGAGGACAACAGGCGGCAAATTCGATCTCGAAATTGAATGCTGGACGATAGGCACAAGTGTTCGACACACTGCCTCGCAGATGACGAGCTCCATGCCAACCTCTTCACCTGGTTAGAGGGTGTCTGGGATCAGAAACGGGTCTACAAAACGAGAATGGGGGAATATGAACGCGAACGGCAGCGGCAGGTGGGTGCATAGGTAGAGGGGCCAATCTAAGCGAATCCCCACTATCATGGCATGTAAGGTGTTGTGTTCGTTCTCGGCTGGAAGTTTGACATAGGGCCGGCCGGTAAATAACAATCTGTTATAGCCGGGATAGCTCAGCTGGGAGAGCAACAGACTGAAGATCTGGAGGTCCCGTGTTCAATCCACGGTCCTGGCATCCATTTTTTAAGATGCTGCTGCATGATTTTGGCACCCTTCTATGGTGTATGATGTATCTGAGCCTAGACTCAAAATCCTTTCCATGCACTCGGATCGTCCACAGTATTCGATTCTTGTCATCAAGCTCGAAGTGCGAGGTTGGTACATGATCAGTGTGACAGGTGGTCCACTGAAAAGTCTCCAAGTGTACTGGGCAGAAGATGTATGGAGGGCCAGCTGAAACCGAACCAGAGACAATCTGCAGACATCGGTTGACAGTGCGTCTTCGACCGACACGAGCATGATGCTGCTTGCCCACCGTCGTCTGGATCGGGACGAACCAAGCCGTGCAGGTACGAAGCATGTATCATTCAGCCCGCAGCACCGGAAATTTCGAGCATAGAAATGATTCCAAAGGTGCGACAATCGTATTCAAGACCGTACGCAGGCATGAAGGTACAAAGCGCCGGTAGGACAGAGAGAGATGTGGCGAGGATAACCAGTCGTGGCTGCTCTATACCAGTCCTTCTAAACGGGCAGGACATACAGCGCACACGTAAAATTCCCCTCGACAGCCGGCCCCTCCAAACCTTCCCTCCTCGCTGTTCCACCAAACCAGCAGGGTCTGTCCGGATCCACCGACCCGCGCGCCGCCAAAAAAAATAAGAGGTCGCGTACAATGGGTGCTGAGACGATCCAGTTTCTCTGGGCATGGCTTGACACTCGAACGACCGCGTGGAGAGAGGGCAGTCATGAGCAACACTGGGGAAGAGATAGCCATGTCGCCGCACGAAGAGAGCCGTGGTCGCGCGCACCGCGCAAAATTTATGCGACGGGCGTGGGAGGCGACGGGATTTGCCGGGGCGCGTCGACTTGTCCTCGTCTCTTCGGTTGTCTCTCAAATCAAGCCTTCATGCATTCATGGCCGAATTTCTCGAGCTTTCCCGACAGTAGCGACCGTATCAATAGAATGCGTATCTAATTCCGCGTGATGACCGCGAGTCCCACGCATCAACGAGAGATGAGCTAGGAAGACTTGAATGAATGTCATCGTTCGTCCTACGATAAAACCATGAATGTGTTCCGAACAACATAACACACGATCCGTCGCGCAGACCGTACAGAAAAATAAACCGATCACAGGCGTCCATCGAACGCTGCATACTCCCCTACCAAAACTCTCCCACCGATCGTGTCCCCTCACCCCGACCCGACAAACACTGGCCCACCGCCGGCACCGACGGCAGACGTGTTGGGCGCAGGCCAGCCCGTCTGGAGGAAAAAGAGAGGGTTGAGTGGGCCGGGCGTGAGCCCGATGAGGTTCGTGAGCGGGATGCTCGAGCCCGCGATGTCGTTGTTTTTCCAGCCCGTCGCGTTGGCTACCAGAGAGTAGACGTTCGACATTACGCTGAGCGGAGGTTAGCGATGGTGGATAGTTAAGGGAAGAAGGAAGAGAGATTGGTTGGTTGGAAGAGAAGGGTAAGGAGAAGCACGCACGGGTCGGTGTCGCCACGGCCGAGCGAGCCGAGGCCCCAGTTTGCCTGGACGGTACTCATCGCGGAATAATGGGTATAATACGTGCTATCGACGGTACCATGCAGGCGCTCGGGGACCGCGCCGCCGAGGAGAACGGCGAAGACGTTGTTGTTATGCAGGTAGCTCTCCGTCTCGTCGAACGTGACGAGCACGAGTGTGCGGCCGTCGTTGAAACGCGGGTCCGCGAGCAACGGCTCGAGCCAGTAGCGCAGGAACGCGGCAGCAAAGTCGACGTTGGTGTCGTGCCCGTCGTTGACCATGTTCGGCGTGACAAACATCCACTGCGGAAGCGCGCTCGTATTGACGTCCGCGGCGAAGTCGTTGAAGTTGCGCACGCGCGCCGCGCGCGACGGCACACCCGACACGGAATCGTACAGGATCGGAGGGTTGTGCTTCCGCTGGTAGTACGTGTAGTTGGCCGCTGTCGGATCGACGTAGTTTACCGAAGAGAAGCTGAGAATTGCGGGTCAGCAGCAGGAGGGAGGAGGCGAGACAGCGGCGGACGCACGTCTCGCCGTTGAAGCCATCCGTCGGCATGTTTTCCTGATACGCCGCCCACGAGACGCCACCGAGCTCGAGCAAGTCAACCATCGTACCGATCCTACGGCGCGGCCGAATGAGCACAGCATACGCTAGCAAGTTGAATAAGATACAGACTGGGAGGGAATGTCATGCTTGTTGTCGTCCGCTAAGCCCCAGAAGCTCCCGCCGATCGTCGCGGCATAGTTCGGCTGTGAGGGGTGCGTGACCGCGAAGTACTGGCTCAGCAGGATCCCGCGTTCAGCGAGCGAGCGGAACTCGGCCTGAAGGGGCATCCAATCGGCGAGGCACGCGCGGATGCAGGAAGGACATCACGCACCGTCGAGTTGGCAACCGAGAAATCCGTGTTCTCGAACCAGATCTGCCCGCGGTCGTTTAGCTACTTGTCGGAGCCACTGGCGCACAGCGGTCGCGCACCTGGATGAAGCGGTCGAAGACTTTTCCTGGCTTGACGGGGTCGATGGGAAGCGAGCCGTTGCTCTGTCCAACGTAGTTCACGGACGCCGAGAAGGGGCTCGATGCGGGTGGCACAAACGATTGGGACTGCGGCGTGCGTCAGATCGACACTGCAGAAGCAGACCTGAGCAAGCGTAGTACGCACCGATGCGGCAAATGCCTGAGGCAGAGCCGCGGCTGCGAGCGCGACCAGCGTTGGGAGCGACATGCGCGGGGAACGGCGGACGATGGCGGCGAGGAGGGGAGCGATACCCGAGCTGGTATATATCTACCGCCAATCATGACGATTTGATTCTTAAGAATGGCTTCAGGAGAAGTGACGGCAAGCCCGACGCGACCATGTGGGAGATCAACGTGGAAAGGTCTTCGCGAGCGACTTCGAAGAGCTCGGGATGGGGGTTCTGCAGCGCACGTTGGAGGGGCGCTGCTTCATGTGGTCAGGCGCATAAACGGAGGTTGCACAGCCTCGCCAAGGGTTACGACAGCCGAGACGGCGTGAGTGGGCGGTCTCCTGTTCTGCATCTTAGGCCGGGGGCCGAAGACAGGGAGAGGTCACAGTTGGGCAAGATCGATTGCGTCGTGTTTGTTGTATCCAGTCGAGAGAAGGCAAATTCCACCGTATCCGATAGGCGCTTATTCCAAGCTTTCTCTCCCATAAGCGTTGACCAACGTTGACAAGTTGACTTCCCGGTCTCATACCGATGCATGCAGTCAGCAGTACGTTTCTAGGGCCTGTTTCGCGCGCCACGCGGAGAGCAGCATGGCTACAAACAAGGTTGCTTGTGCACGGAACGACGGCGGCGGTGCAGTCCCCTGGCTCTGGCAGAAGCTTAGCGGCCTACATTACTCGCTCCGTAGGGACCCTCGTAGGAATGGATAACCGAGCCACACGGTTAATTGGGTGCTCCTTTCTATCCTCATCGAGCACAGCTTGCTTGCGCACCAGTAGAATGTCATCGCGACCGCCTGTCCGGGCCTGGGTCTCCTACGTCCCTGTCCCCGCGACCATCGCCCTCACCTCCGATCCGCGGACTTCTCCTTCGTTCCATGCGTACTCTCCGCTTCCCTAAACGCACAAGCGTCTCATTCACGAAAGTGTCTCATCCACGACGATGCCTCCCCCGGACCTGGTCGCATCAGTTGTCCGACTCGGGGCGTTATTGCGCCGCCGATACTGAGAGGCGACAGGGGGGCCCGACGTCTGCGCTCGTGAAGCACACCGAGGTAGATGAGCGAGCGTGGTGGTTTGTCAAGGTCACTCGGCGTTGGGGATAGACGCTTGAGATGGACGGGTGTGCCGTCGAGTACAAGGTAGCACACGGCACGATGGTACTGGAGGACACCGCTCGCATCGGGTATCTCGGCATAATTTGTCAGAGCAACAGTACACTCCGCACTCATGGCGTCCGGCCCTGTGCAGCTTCAAACGAGCGTAGGGGAAGGTCCGCGACGCTGAAGACTGTTCGTGCACTGTCGGCGCGCTTCTGCAAAGCAAGGACTGTGCACGCACTCGTAGCACCACCGGTAATTCTCCCTCGACTCGGCATGGCGATCCAAGCGCTAGGCGGGCGTGTAGAATGTCAGCGACTACATGTATTCCGGTGCGAGAAGATTCATTGGGTCATATGTAGCGTCGGGGTAGCACAGGATTGTCAGCTAGATGGAACAACAATCCAATTGTGCAATTGTGGTGTGAAGAAATGCGATCACGTTACTGTACTGTGCTTGCGATAGGACGCGCATCATCCGTCATCGCCTTCGCAGACGATTAGGCTCGCGGTCAGCCTCGGTCCCTACGCTCTCCGTCCCTTGTCTCAGAAGGAATCGGGCCTCTATTTGTTAATGATTCGGGCTCTCAAGAAAAACATCCTACGTATTGACATTACTGGACAAGCTGGGGATTGAACCCAGGACTTCTCGCACACTCTATACGAATGCAAAGCGAACACGCTACCACTGCGTCACTTGCCCATGTTGGCGAGGCTCAGCTTTCTACTCCTCAGCACACGCCCTTGTGCGAGTGCGGTATATCAGACCTAGTCCCGAAACAAGGCATCGCATACTCACAATAGCAGCAGCACACGCACCATCATTATACCACGGCTGTGTAAGAATGAGCGCTGAGTTGAGCGACAGACCGACAGAGGAGAGAGATAGCTCATATTCCTGCAGGTGCTCTTGGCTTGCAACTGCACGAGGAGAGAACAAAAGGAGTGTATGATTGAGCGGACACCAGCCGCACGGATGGTGGTCTGACGTGCTTAAGGGCGAGATGTATCTTTGCGTGTTTTTTGAAGTGCTCGAGTCAACGAGGGCACTCGCATCTAATCAACCAATCAGGTATCAGCCTTATCCATGATTGTATTCAAGTATCTGTGCACAGTGCTAGAGCGTAGCTTTCGGAGGAGCACCTCAACAGGACTGTGATCCCAAAGACTTCCAGAAAGCTCGGCTGCGCACACCTAATGATTCGGAAGAGGAGCGGATGCAATATCTTTCAAGCCCATTTCAAGCATGTCTTGGCACATCCACTCGTTTTCTGACATAGTAGTAGTAATGATCAAAAGATGGGAGAGGTACTTAATAATGCATCTGCTAGAGTCAGCGGCAGAGCGTGGAAGGAGGACGCAAACGAGGCACGCGTCCGGGTTCGGCGAGCTCCGGGTAGCCGAGTGGGTCGTTTGGCTGGCGCGGCTTCGAGGCGACCAGCTCTTCGAATCCACCTGTGTACAGCACTGCATACACCCACCTCATTGAGCACCGGCCGAGAGATTGGGCTTAACGCTTGTGCGGCTGAAATCAGAGCTTCCGTCGCGGTGCCTTTCCCTTCCGTGCGCACCCGTACATGCAAGACAGGCGAGGGGCGCAGGCTGCTGTGTGGATGCCGGGTTGCGGACGTCTTCTTGCACTCGAGACTGGAGTACCCGCTCGCTCACTAGGGCAATTTTTTTCCGCGCAGAGTTCGTTCGTGGTGGCCCGTAAATGCATAGGAGGAAGTGCGATGGAAAAAGGTGAGCGTGCATTGACGAGTCAGCAGTTCGACTCCATCACACGAGGAAGCTCTGTAGAGTGTACGCTGCGACGGCAATCCACCACTCCCGTGTATCCGACGCCTACCACCGACGTCAATCACCGACGCCACCTGAGATCTCGGCGCACTTTTTAGGGCGCGTGCGAGTCAAGTTCTCCGTGGCCCTTTGTGAGGCGAGTGGATGCCAAGCGGATACGGTGGGTCGTATCGTACCGAGAAATCTGGCTATCACGTGCCTCTTGCACTATATATGCGGCGCCCCTGGCTGACGACGAAAAACCCCAGTACTTGTCGCTTGCGCTGGTTCTACGAAATCTACGCGCGAGGGCTTTACTTCATGACGACCTTCACCCACGAATTCAATACGCCCGTATTCGGGAAGAAGGTTAGCTTCTCGAGCGGCATCTTCATCGACAATGAGTTCTCTGCCGGTGCCAACAACACCACCATTGAGTACGCCCTCTCTACGTACTAGTACTCCTCTTCCTATCGGTTTACCTCATACACTACAGTCTGGTGAACCCGTCGACTGGCCAGGTCGTTGCGCAGGTCTCGGAAGGTATGCCCGCGGATGTGGACCGTGCCGTCGCGGCTGCGCGACGCGCATTTGAGACGACGTGGGGGCTCAATAGGCCGGGTTATGAGAGGGGACAGCTTCTGACGAAGCTGGCGGATCTCATGGAAGAGAATATTGACGAACTTGCTGCGCTCGAAGCATTCGACAATGGTACGCGTCTATTCCTATCCCTCCGAGCGCGTCATCTCCCTCCCACCCTTATCGACTTCTCTTCCATGACCTTGCTGTCTCACATGGTCATTACTCTCGCTGACGCCGCGCAGGAAAAACGTTTATGGCGGCGCGCCACGGTGACGTCGTCAGCTCGATCCAGTGCATCCGCTACTACGCTGGCTGGGCGGACAAAAACCACGGTCAGACGATCGAGACGAGCGAGGCGAAGTTCGCGTACACGCGTCACGAGCCCATCGGCGTATGCGGGCAGATCATCCCGTGGAACTACCCTCGTGCGTACCCTCTCCCCAGCATTCCCACGCGATCCGACATGCGATGGGCCGCCCAGTGGGGATGATGTGCTGGAAGATTGGCCCCGCACTCGCGACGGGCTGCACCGTCGTTCTCAAGCCGTCTGAGCTCACGCCTCTGACGGCCCTCCGCATGGCGCACCTCATCGTCGCTGCTGGCTTCCCGCCGGGTGTCGTCAATATTGTCGTTGGCTACGGCTCGACCGTCGGCCAGACTATCGCCGAACATACCGGTATCGACAAGGTCGCGTTCACGGGATCGACGGCTATCGGGCGGAGGATCCTCGAGGCGAGTGCGAAGACGAACTTGAAGAAGGTTACGCTCGAGTTGGGTGGAAAGACTCCGAGCATCGTCTTCGATGACGCAGACCTGGATCAAGTGGTCAAGTGGTCCGCTCTCGGCATCTTGTACGATTTTATTTCCCTAGACGGCATGCGCGAGTCGCTGATGGAAGCAGTGGGAATGCGGGACAGATCTGCACCGCCGGATCGAGGATCTTCGTCCAGGAGGGGATCTACGACAAGTTCCTGGATGCCTTTACGAAGCATGCGCAGTCGATCAGGCTCGGTGACCCCTTCCAGCCAGACTCCTGGCAAGGCCCGCAGATTTCCCAGGTCCAATTCGACGTACGTCTTTTCCTTACTCACCTTGAATTCTAACTCACTGCCGTTGCTCAGCGCGTCATGGGCTACATCAGCTCCGGGAAGGAGCAGGGCGCGACACTCCACACCGGCGGTACTCGACACGGGGACGTCGGCTACTGGGTCCAGCCGACGATTTTTACCAACGTTCGCCCCGATATGAAGATTGTCCGCGAGGAAATTTTCGGGCCCGTCGGTGTCGTCATCAAGTTCAAGGACGAAGACGACGTCGTTCGACAGGCGAACGACACGCTCTATGGTTTGGCTGCGGCCGTGTTCTCGAAGGACATCAAGAGGGCGATGGAGACAGCGCACCGCGTCCAAGCCGGGACGGTCTGGATCAATATGAGCCAATACGGGAATGTGTCGGTGCCATTCGGAGGGTACAAGCAGAGCGGGATCGGCCGGGAGTGTGGCGAATATGCCTTGGCAAAGTACGTTGTCTTTGACAGCGCCGGACGATGTTTGCTAATGAGTTGATTCATAGCTACACGAATGTTAAGGCCGTCCATGTCAACCTTGGGCATGTTATGTAAGGTCTGAAGTTGGGATAACGCAGTGACATCATCTGTAATTTTGATCTAATCCAATATTGTAATCATATCTGTCGTACAGAGCGTCAGGCTACATGTTCCGCGTACAAAGCTGCGACGAGGCCGCGTCGGTGGCGGCAGCAGCGGCAGCCTAGGTGACGCCGCGGGGCAGGACCTGTTTAGGGATCTACCATGAAGATACCATAAACGATATTACAATCCTTGGTTACCGCCGGCTTCAGTCCTCCTTATCCTGCTTCTGGAGGCACAAGAGGAAAACGAAAGACCCGTTGTGATCCGTGGAATACGACACGTACAAGGAAAGCCTAAGCACAGGTGGTATGGACGCATAGAAGTACGTACACGATGCCACTTATGCGAGAAAAAAGAGCATATTGAGATAGCAGTGGTCACTATTTGCTATTGCACTCAATTGGCGTGTAGGAAACGGTACAATGCTGTGGGATAAACCAACGTCGGTCTCAGGGGACACGAGTACAGGTATGCCAAGCCCACGCCCGCGCATTGAAGAAGAGCGAGTAGCGCAGCGTTCGTGTGCTTAGGGTGCAGGTATGTTGGAACGTCGGGCATTGCATCGACGGACAGCTACTGAACCCCCTCCCTCCGAGATATACGACTCAAAACATAGCCCTCGGGCGCGGAAGACGAACATGTTTTCCGGCGCACACAAGCCGACCACAGAGGCCGAACCCGCACAAATGCGCTCAGTAGACCCTGTTCCCGGCAGCGGGCGAGCATAGCTAGGGAAAGATGGATAGCGGCTGCCCATATCAGAGATGGAAGACCAAGCCCTGCGACACCCGTACTATGTGCCAATCGCCCCGACGGAGTACGAAGAAGACCTTTACACACCGAATGCAGGGAGGAACGGCCACGGGAATAAACAACTGATGGTGTGCCAGTGACACGCGCGAAAGGCGAGCCTGCTTTACCTACTCGAGAGAAAATAGAACGGTCGAAGCAGCTGTCGTGCCAGCCTCGCCCACTAGGATCTGTCGCCTAGGCTCACAAATGTGATTGAGCTAGGTCGATGCCCAAGATGACGATCAGACGACAGAGGCACGGGACAACGGTGTACGGGACGGATAAAGGATGTTCTGACTCCTATCGGCACCAAGTCCAACGATGCCTCGCCTTCCGAGAATTAAAAAGGAAAGTACCGAAAGAGAAGGCGTTTGCATGCAGTTCGAGGCCACCAGCGAGGGCGTGTATTTGGGCAGCATGAAATGCATGAGCTAAACTGATGGAGTGTCGCCAGTAAGACACCAGTACCCAGAACTGTATCCGCCTTGCAAGGAGCTAGGACAGATGCAGTAGGATGCACCAATCCGTCGCGAGCACATGAGCCCCTCGATCCGAATTCTCTTTGCGTACGACCTCGAAAGTACCAATGTTTGGCCGCATAAGAGATACACGGGCAAGGTGTCAGTTCCGCAACCAGATTGGATTTCCGCCAGTTTCACTGTCAAAGACGAAGATTACAGAGAAATGCGCGCACGGAAAAGTGTGAGTGCAGTGTTAACAATTGAGGGAACAGTAGCCAAAAGCACGGTAGAATATACTCTAGCAAAGAGGTATTCTGGGGGAGGACGCATGAGCGCAGTGCGGACGCGTCAACATCACGGCTGGGAGCATTAATAAGACGGAGAGCGTCCGCTACCAAGCTCCTTGTTGTGTATTCCGGTTCGATATGGTCCGTAAAGATTCAGCATACGGATAAAGTAGGAATCATCCTCGAATGCACGGCAGTCCGCATGTCTAAGGTTACGGTTATCACGGGGGATGCAGAGAGATCATAACCAGTCGTACACGCACTCAAAATGGAATGAACTCTCTCCTCGGCCAAGGCGTTCCAGCGGCCTCATTGTGTACATCGGAACAGCCTGTATCGCTGCCGTGGATGTCGAGCGGATGAGGCTGTCTGCGAACGGACGTGCGGCCCAGCTTAACGTCAGGTTTTTCAATCGAGATAACGCTGTTGCATTATTTAATGCATGCGAGATGAGACGGGTCTTGAGAGAAACCAGTGAGAGATGAGGACAACCGCGAGTTCACAGCTAGTGGAGTGGAAGGGGATCGAGCGGCGGGACTCGGACGCTACCGGTGCGGCCCGGAAAACCCGGAACGGAACCTCGCTTGTCTGTCTTCCACGAGATACTCACAACGTGCCCTAAAAATCCGTGCGCGGCAGTCCGCCCATGGAAGACGCATAGGATAAAAACAGTGTGCTTACACTTGTTCCCATCTGCCCCGGTGAGGCTCGAACTCACGACCTTCCGATTTATCGTGCTGTTTGCGTTAACAGTCGGACGCTGTGACCAACTCAGCCACGGGGCAGGCAATGCCGTAATTGTTCAAAAGCTATATAAGTCAGTACGAGTATCGTGTATTTCCCATGCTCTTCGCGGGGTTGTTATCAACGCCTGACAAGACTCTCCCAAACCTTCTACTTGATCCGTGTGAGGTTAAGCGGTTCAAGGCGACAGCCCCTCCAGACGGATTGAGTCACCGAAATGCCCCGGTGCATGGTTACTATAGGAGTACTAGTTGGAGCCTAGACTCGACTGCATATTAGACACTAGAGTGGGGGTAGCGCGTGCCAGTGATCTCGAGATGCTACTGCGGATGCCTCCGTAACAGGTTCGTCTCTGGCCTGCAATTACAATCATAAAGGGATGCAGCACGCTCCTCGTTGCACGCACGATGTCGGGGGAAGGGTACACACGGGGTACGCGGAGGCCACAGTAGCTCGCGAGCCTCCACGAGACCCATACCCATTCAGGAAGCTCAGGGCAGGGACCGTCTACGGGCAGATCCTTATACATGTTATGCAACCTCGTATGCGGGTCACAGCAGGCGGTCGGTCTCCCGCTGCGCGCGAACGGGTCGACGGGAATACAAGGATCCGTGAATCGGCATTTGCTAGCCTCTGCTGGCCTCCAGAAGGGGTGACGTTCGGCGATCATATATCAAGAGGCCTTTGGTAACCAGCCTGCACCAGATATGCATACTTAACGTACATTTAAGCGCGAGAGATCCTCTAGTCACTGTACCCAAAGCAGTCATCCCAATACATGATTCAAAAAGGCTTCGTTGACTGCCATTCCCCCGTCCCCAGGTGACAGTAGGAAGTCACCGGCACGCTTAACAGAGTCGGGGGGGAGGGAGGGAGGGAGGCCTGCAGAAGGGAGCGCATGAAGTAGAAGACCTCGAGAGGCGCGCAGCCCAATCTGATTCCAAGTCTACCTACCGTAAAAACCGGTGAGTTCGTTGCGTGAGAGTGACGGACGGCGACTGCGGATCGAGCGCACGAATGTCTGTGCATGTTGGAGAAGTCATCACACCCAAGGCAGTCAGACAGAGAGACTACGGCGTAGTGCGATTGCACTTGCTGCCCTACAGACAGGACATCAGACTTGTGCTAACGTTGCAATTATACGGTCAATTGGACGAGAGAAACCGGCGTGGACGTGAGCCTAGAAAGCGAAACGGATTACGGACTAGCAGGTCCGAGTACTAGCACGTGCGAGAGGCGTGGTTAAGCACGAGGCACCCGACGGCAGCGAGTAAGGCGGGACCGAAGACGGGAATGGGGGACGAGAGCAAAATGAGTATGGACCAACTTCTTACTTGGTCTTCCGGGAAATCCATCGATCGTCTGAGGCTAAAGATCCATTTCACAGATATTGGACCAGGGCAGAGTGTCAAGAAAGGATAACTGTATTTCGTTGGCTGAAATGGGGAGTGCGGCCCGCAGTGCACCTAGTTGAAGGGAGCGCGCATATCCAGATACGCGATGTAGCAGCAAAAGATAAGAATACGCCACCGTCATTTCCTGTAAGAAGAGTGTTGTCAAGGACGACCATCCCACGCGGCTACAAGGCGCAAAATGACCGGTCCTGTGAAGAATAGGAGAGGTGAAGGAATTAACCAAGACGAGAGAGCCATTGTGGACATGGGGTGTACATGTGGTAGCTGGATGAAGGGGCTCGTGTCGCAGTGTCGGGCCTGACGAGTGAAGATGCCGTCCATCTTTTCCCACCTCAGCAGTAGTAAAAGGACGAGAAGTGGCTTGGAAAAGACCAGAGCGCCAAAGTGGTAAAAGCTTTATGAATATACTGTACGGTGTACAAGACAAGTTGGGTAATAAGTAGAGTGGACTAAGTTATCGTGTCAAGGTGCCGTGAGACGGTGCTAAGAGTACAAGATCGGATGTCTGCGAGCTAATGAATACCTTGACCTTCAGGGTTGGAGGAAAACTGCTCACAACAAGTAAGACTCAACTCCAAGAGTGGGCGGGGCGGAGCCGGCGGCGTCACGTCTGTCCGCGCGACCAGCTGCGTAGTCGTCAGAGCGGGGCGCGGTGCCGTGCGCAGTGCGAACGTACGCTTTCTTCGCCTCGTATGAGACGGTCATGATCTTTGGCGTCTCGCCTTCCTGGATGGAGTTCCACGGCTGGGGGTTCTTCTTCGTCCATACAACTAGATATTTCTCAACAACAAATAAACATAACATAGAATGGATGGCGCACTGTTGGGGCCCCATGCGATGCGGTAGAGATACCAGGTGCCTCCGGCGCTGACGCTGGCGACGATTGCAAGAAGAGGAATAGCCTGTGGTGCATCAGCATAAACAGGCCAGCAGCTCAGGCAAGGAGCACGTACCTCAACCGCGAAGAAGTGTCTCCGCATGTAACGGAATGCATGTGCTGCTGATGACATGTTGTCGATGGATGTGTTAATAGATGTGTCGGTGTTGAGGACGAGGAGGGCTCCGGCTTCAGTTCATGGCTAGAAATACTCGGGACGGAGTAAACCGTTGCGAGGTGTACCGATGAACGCCATTGTCTGGGCGTGTCGAGGGCAGGTGAACACGATCGGCGTCTTGCCCAAGGCGGCGTGCAGGCGGCTGGAGCGGCGGCTGGACGTGGTCGCGGTCCGAGCGCGAGTTCGCGCCCAATTCGCGCCACCGGCCGCCGAGCCTGGCCCGCGCACGTGAACTGAGATCGGATATCGGACCGAAGGCCGTGTCGTCGGCCCTCGCACCCGTCAAGCCAGGCGTCCACGATAATTGCAGTAGAGCGCAAGGTAGAGCGCAAGGTAGAGCGCAAGGTAGAGCGACGAAGATAGCCCTCGTGGCAGTTAGGGCAAGACCAGTGAATCAACTTTGTTCATTGGTAACTACTAACTACAAGAGCTAATGAGGATAAAACAGTGGCATGGAGATAGTGCATAGCCAAGTTGTACAGAGATAGATATATGCGGCATATAGGACGATATGAGAGTGCGATGATGGAAATGCGGTTATTGCAAGAGGAGGAGATGCGAGGGTATAAGACGGGTCCTTTTGACCGAGACTTTGTAAATTCGAGGAAAAGGAAGAAAATGTCGGATACAGGCTCCCGACAACTTAAAATGGAGTCCAGATATCCGGTATCACTGGGCCAGGGACAGGATGCGGGGTGGAGGGTGCGGTTATGTTGGAGAGAGCATCGCCAAAGCTCCGCTCACGGCGGATGCCTGCCGTGCGGGGAAGTCCAGACGCAGGAGCAGCGGAGGTCTGACAACCTGAACCCTTGCGCTGGGGACGAGCCTGTCCGCCTGCCGCTTGGACTGTCGTCTTGTGACAGCGACCGCTGCTTGCAGACCGCACCGGTCCGATAGAAGACGGCGTAACGAGCATTGGTAGCGTCGTACTCGATGAGCTGCACGCGGCCGTGGTGAGGGTGCAGACCACTGGCTGGTGCGTCTGCGAGGAATTGGGCTGAACCACGCTCACAGGGAACGGCAGAGTAACGTTGCGCAAGCCGGGTGGCGTATCGGAAGGGACACTAATTGCCAGCTGCTGGGCCATCGGCGGTAAGGGGTGTGGATAAGTCGTGTTCCCGGGATTCAGCATCGTCCTATTGGCCCAATTGGCTATGTTGGCGGTGGGAAGGCCGGTAGCAAGCGGCATAGTCGTCTGCAACGAGGACTGGGGCTGACCCGCGCTCGCGGAGGACGACGATGTGGGTAAGACTGGGCTCGAGGCCTGTGCCGCCGAACGGGCCGCTTGCCGCGCCGCGCGTGCAGCCGCCCTTCCTGTGAGTCGGACCTTCCCATCCGCAACCTGGCGCTTGTAGAACTCCTCGAACGAGTTGTCTGCCTTTGATAAGTCCCGCAGTACTACCTCTGCCCAGGGTGCTTGCGCGGCGCTCAAGCAGTGCATTTTTGTTGACTCCACGGCCAGCTTGAAGATCCACCCTCTGTGTTGCTCGTCAGCGTACTGGAAAGCGAACAGATGACATGCGACTCACGCGCTCTGATCACCATTATTTCTTCGGTAATAGTCGAGAAGGAGCTGCTGCCTCGCCTCTGGACTGTGTGTGAGAGTTAAAAAGTTCTGAGTCTCGGGTGGCAAGAGGCTCGTCATCTGGTCCGTGGAAAGAGGTGTGGTTTCGGGAGCACAAGAGGGGGTGGACGGATAAGGCGGGTGGCCAGAAGCCGGCGAAGGACAGTTAGTGTGAGTGTGGTAAGAGAAAGGTGTGGCTGGTAGTGGCAACGATGGGGTAAAGAGGACTTGCCCCGACAGAGGCTGGGGAGCTGGGAAAGGACTCGCCGATGCCACCGATGCCACCGATATCGCAGCATGACCGTTGAGCGACGAGCTGTTAGGGAGCTGTGAATCAGTCCCAGACATCACTTCCTGAGTGTAGGACGGATCGTCGGCCAACGGGGAAGGTCCACCATCTCCAGTATCCCGGCTGAAAGGATTAGGTTGCTGTCCTGCTGCATCCAGAATAATTTGTAAGAGATCGTCGAACGAGCTAATAGTAATTGATGGAGACTCTGGGACGCCTGCGTCCCCTGTGGCCGTCTGAGCTTGGCGAGGTGAGGTTACTTCGTTCACCATGACTGGCGGCGCCTTAGGGTTGCGGCACAGTGAGTGGCAGAGGGAGAACTGGAATGTTGGCCGCAAGGGAGCATCTGGAACTCTTTTATAGCTCCGTGCGACCACGGGCGCCAAAGGGCAAAGGTGTGCCCAGCACTTGGCGGCAGACAGCGTGGTAGGACCATTGTCCTTCGAGCCTGCCTGTGGTATCAACAGCCGGAAGCAAACGCATACCACCGGACGAACTTCACAAGGAATCTCCCGACAGCTGGGTGGCAGCCGAACAGCGAGACATTCTGCGACGTTTTATCCCACTACGCAACCTGGAATAAGCAGGGATTAGTGACGAAGAAAGATGGGTTTAGAGAAAGAAAGAGGCATTGAAAGTTTTCGAGCTGTTCATGATTCATGTCCGTCGACTTCCCGATATGCTCGCACACATCCATCGTCTCTTTCAGCACCTCGAC